GCAGCTGTACTGGGCTGTCTCTGAGGCAGCAATCCGTTGGCAGGCCCACCTAGCCAGCCAGAATCAGGGAGCTGTTTACTTTCAGTTTTCAGCTCTTGTAAAAGTTTTGTTTCCATCAACTAAGTCTGTGTTTATGTTACTTAAAGGAACTGCTCTGGAAAAAAAACAAAACTTCTTCCCTGAGGTTCACTGGGCAGAGGGCAGGGGAGTGGGGAGAGCTTGGCCAGGCCTGGGGGCATGCCTTGGGGAGGTACAGTACCTTACTTCTACTCTGCCTGGGGTGAGATCTGAGAACAGCAAGGTCTCATTTTGCTCTCTGCAGCAGGCATCAGCTCTACCTCTGTGTTTTGCTAGATGTACCTGGCCAGACCCTTGGTCACATCTGAATTTCATTTCACCTTCACAGTAGACCTGGGTAAGAAGGCCAAACAGAAGTTCTTAGCTCCCTTTGGTAACAAAGATACTGAGACCCAGAGGAAGAGTGTGTCTTGGCAAGTGGACAATTAGGCTTGGCCACAGATCATTTTTCCTTCCACTCCACCCCACTGCCTCCCCTCTGAGAAAGTCCCAGGAACACCCTGAAGCAGGGGTGAGTGGGGAGACCTGCACCCACCACCTTCCTGGGAGCAGGCCGTCTGTTCAAGGGGATCCATCTGGGGACTAGAGTGGAGAGAACCCAGAAAACAGTGACTTGGACCAGACCCACATTTCAGCCCAAAGAAGAGGGCTGGTCCTTCCTGAGAAAGATTTTAGAGACACTATATCACAGGACCTGGCCAAAGAAGGACCCACCAGCTGGAAGCAGTTCCTGGGTGACAGAGCACCTCCTCTCCCATCATCTGCTCATGGAGCCCAGCCATGCTGCAGCTGGGCTGGGTGCTCAAATTTAGAATTTGCCCCTTAGGGCTAGGCCCCTGGTCTGGATATCTTGTCCCCATTTGCCCCCTGCTCCTAGCTGTGGCTGCTGAACCTGCTACTGTCTAGCCCCAAGGAAGTCCTAATCCCAGCCTAGGGGAAGGCAGCCAGCCAAGGGGGTGAAAGTTGAGCAAGGCAGGCATCTGTACTGAACCTGAGGTCCTGCTCTTTTCCGGGCACCTGGGCACCTGGGCTCTGGCAGGGGCATGCAAGGATTTCAGGGGAGCAGTCGGTACATGTAGGGGTGTCCTTGCTCTGAGCAGTTGCACCTCTGCCAAGCCCCTCCAAAGTTGTGTGTTTTGGAGAAACAGCTCTGATGAAGGAAGAACCTTTACTCCTAGTCAAGATGTTTTTTAGACCCTATTGAGGTCAAAAGCCAAATGCTGCTGAGTGTCTGTTCTCTGTCCTTCCACACCCCTGCCCTGCCTAGTACGCAGAGCCAAGCCCTGTCCCTGGGCCTGGGCCATACAGATAAGGCCCCCTAGGTTGCTGGGTCCAGGTATGCGTGCTGGGAAGTTGGCTGAACCAGCCACACTTGATTCAGCTCCAGGGCAGATGTTGGCCCAACCAGTCAGGTGCAGGCCTGTGCTCATGCTATTCCTCCAGTGAAATGACCTCATCCCACCACCAGTTCTGCTGAAACTCTGGCCATCTCAGATCTCACCTCTGTGTGAAGCCTCCCCTGTCTATCCTGGCTGTTACAAATTGCTCCTTTCTCCATGCTCCCGAGTTCTAAGCTTCATCTCTGTGATTGTTGGGTAGGTTGGCATCTGTCTTCTCTCCTCTAGCCTGAGCAGCCCTGTGGGGAAAGAAATCATGGCTACTTATTGTCCCTAAAAATTGATCGAATTAAGGGGCACCTGGGTGGCTCAGTCGGTTAAGCGTCTGCCTTTGGCTGGGGTCATGATTCCGGGGTCCTAGGATCAAGCCCCACGTTGGGCTCCTTGCTCGGCGGGGAGCCTGCTTCTCCCTCTCCCTTTGCCCCTCCCCCCATCGTGCATGTGCATGCACTCCCTCTCTCTCTCAAAAAAATAAATATTTTTAAATTTTTATTTTAAAAAAATTGATCGGGTTGAGTAGATCTTAGGCTCTCTCCTGAAAGGCTTGATGAGTCACCAACAAAGGTCTTTGATGGTCATTTCATGAACTGAGGTACTTGGCCCTTCCAGTGATGGAAAACAAGACCCACCAGAGCTTCTTAAAAACAGTGCTTCTCTTCTGGCAGATGAGGACACAGAAGCTTGGTTTAGGATTTGAGATAGGGGACTATGCTCTCAGGCCTGTTTTCCCGTTTAGCTTATAGAACAAACATCTCTGTCATCCCCTTTCACTGTAGCAGAGAAAGAAATGGAAAGTTAAGGTACAGCTGGTGACCCAGAAGATCTGTCTGCAGTGTAGCCAGGGGACTGGAAGGGGATTCAGTGTTACCTCTAAATCCTAAATAGTGGGGCGCCTGGGTGGCTCAGTTGTTAAGCGTCTGCCTTCGGCTCAGGTCATGATCCCAGGGTCCTGGGATCGAGCCCCACATCGGGCTCCCTACTCCACAGGAAGCCTGCTTCTCCCTCTCCCACTCCCCCTGCTTGTGTTCCCTCTCTCGCTGTGTCTCTCTCTGTCAAATAAATAAGTAAAATCTTAAAAATAAATAAATAAATAAATCCTATATAGCTCACGAAACAACAGTCTTGGATATTGGGAGTACAGAGGGGTATATGGAGACTTAATGTGCTTGCCAAGCCCCTGAGAGGATTTGACCTAACCAAAGGCCTGGCACATGGTAGGCCAACAACCACTGGTTCTAGAATGAATGAATAAGATGTTTTCTGTAAGACGCAGTCTCCTCCCCACCCAATTTAAGCCTCTGGTCACCATGGCTTGGTCCCACCCTTTCACTGGTCTAGCAGCTACCAAGCTCCTATCTTGGACCTGGCCCAGTTGGAGTCACAAGCATCAGACTCAGTCCATGTCTTTTTTTTTTTTTTTTTTTAAGATTTTACTTATTTATTTGACAGAGAGAGACACAGCGAGAGAGGGAACACAAGCAGGGGGAGTAGGAGGGGGAGAAGCGGGCTTCCCGCGCAGCAGGGAGCCCGATGCGGGCTCGATCCCAGGACCCCAGGACCATGACCTGAGCTGAAGGCAGATGCTTAACGACTGAGCCACCCAGGCACCCCTCAGTCCATGTCTTGCAGGAGCACCCATCCAGTCTAGAGGGGGAGGGCAACAGGCAGTGGCTGGGCGACTGGCCTACCCTGGCCTGAGGCATTATGCTATGAGGCGCCTCTCATATTTTGGAAGGAAGTACTCCAATCATGAGCAAAGGGTAGGTTTCCTTTTTTTTCCTTTTAGCCTAGGCCTGCCTAGAAGACATGGAGCTGTATCTTCTCATCTCTACTAGCACCACTTTGTTCTTGGTTCTCAGGCAACCCTAACTGTGGGCTATCAGTGCTGAGAGTTTGCTCAGGTTCTATGCACTCCTTTAGCATTTAGAACTCCAGATTGGCAGGTAATCCTCAAGATTGCTTGGCTTCCGGGGCACCTGGGTGGCTCAGATGGTTAAGCGTCTGTCTTCAGCTCAGGTCATGATCCCAGGGTCCTGGGATCAAGTGCCACATCGGGCTCCCTGCTAGGCGGGGAGCCTGCTTCTCCCTCTGCCTCTCTCTCTGACTCTCATGAATAAATAAATAAAACTTTAAAAAAAAAAAAAAAGATTGCCTGGCTTCCACTCCCCTTATCACATTCTGGCTGCTATTCTAATTTTTTTAGTAGATCACTCTGTCCTCTCTGAGCTATGGAAGTCAAGAACTGGGTTCTGAGGGCACCTGGGTGGCTCAGTCAGTTAAGCGTCTGCCTTCGGCTCAGGTCATGATCCCAGGGTCCTAGGATCGAGCCCCCGTGTCGGGCTTCCTGCTCAGTGGGAAGTCTGCTTCTCCCTCTCCTCTGCCCCTCCCCCTGCTCATGCTCTCTCTCAAATAAATAAATACAATATTAAAAAGAAGAAAAAACTGGGTTCTGTTCATTTCTGTCAGTAGGCATAAGGTTAAGTGAAGGAAAGAAAGGATTACTAAATGTTACTGACCCCAGAAGCAACTCTAGCTGGGCCTCAGTTTCCCAGTAGCAGAACTGCAAGGGTCAAGGAGATAGTTTCAATCTCTGGGGTCTCGACCAAGCTGATTCTCGGTGCCTGGGGAGTGGTACAGTGAGCTGCCTATGCCGCCAACAGCTTGTGAAGATCTCAGCTCATGGATTTGGGGACAGAGAAGAGATACCCATCCATAGGGCAGGCTGCATGCTATTGAGGTCAGCCAAGTTCACCTGTGGTGGCGACTCCCATCTCCTTTCAGCACTGCCTCTTGCTGTCAGCCGGCTGCCTGTATAACTTTGAGCTCCTTCAGGGGAGGAACCTGGTACAAAAAATAAAGTGGGGTGGGGAACAGTTCAATGAGCAAAAGAGTGAATCATAGAGGAGTCCAGAAGACCACCATGTCATCACCCAAATGTACACTAGGACCTTAAAGGGGAATTAGTGATACCCTGTCAGCCTGAGGCAGGGAAAGATTTGGTAGGAGGGCGGTGGGCTTGTGGTTCATGTCACCGGCCAGCTCTCGGAACTCCCAGGGGCCATACTGAGAGTGTATTATTCACCAACATCTTCTCCCTGGCAGTTGGATATATTCCCAGGGTCGCATGTGGAACAGTTACAACTCAGAGGACAAACGACTTATCTATATTCATGCAGCAAGAGAAGGGATGAGGCGGCTTTAAACCTGTCCTGGAGGGGGACTCCTCTTTCAGAAGCATAGACAGAGTCTAAGCTAAGGTTCACATCTTGGCTCTGCCACTCCAAGCTGTGGGACCTTGAGTTTATTTAAACCTGATCTCTACTTTCCTCTCCATGACATAGGAACAATGTACCCACCTATGGGGTTGACATGAGGGTTAAACAAGATCAGGTACCTAAAGTGCTTTGTAAACCAGTCAGCTCTATATCAATATTGGCCAGAGGACCAAAATATGAGAGGAACCAAAGTCATTTCTTGGACGGGCCATATCCTCAGTGCTAACCTAGCTGACTTCTTCCTCTTCAGGACAAGAGTGAGGCCTCCAGCAGAGCCTTGTCCAGAAGGCCTTCTCGTCCCAGACCTAACTCGCTGCCTTCCAACTTGCCTGAGGAAGAAACTCGCAGGATTGCACGGATATTTTCTTCCCAATACTCCCAGAAAGACTAATACAGACTGAAAGACAAAGGGAAGGATCCACCTGCCCACCCTCCTTTGGCCTTGTCCAGCTTGCATGAGGCACAAGGTCTGCTTCCTTCAAGGCCGTGAGAGCCCTGAAACCACCACCAGCCTAGTCCATGGGTGCCTTGAGACCCATCCAGCGCAGCCTGGAGGAACGTCCCAAAGCAGTCCAAATTCCACCTGCTAGGATTTCAACTTCTTCCTTCTAAACAAAATGGATTCCAGTACCCAAGTGGAACCACCCATCTTTTGACCAAGGGACCCAAGCAGGCATCTCTCAGCTGAGAAACTCCTTCCAGTGTCCTTGATAGCCTTCTGCTGACATGAGCCCACCTTCTGCCTGAATATCACGGGCCATTTTTGCCTTAAAGTTTGGGTGAGGTAGAGGAGGGGGTGGAGATTGTGTGTGTTGCGCATAGCGGAGGAAACCTAGGGCCACCTTCAATTGATTTGCTTAGAGATAAGGGTATTTTATAGATATAAATTATTTTTATGCTGTGTTGAATTAATCAATAGAAAAGGAGGGGGAAAATCACCTCCTTCAGACTTTTTATCTGATTATCTGAGATTCTAACCATGCTTTTAACTTACTGTTTTTACCCAGCTCTGAAGGTCATTGTTCCTGCCTGTGTTTGAATAAAATCATATTGGTACTGGTATTCTGTACACGGTGTTTCCTGGGCCGGCCACTGGCCTGGGGTGTTAGGAATCCATTTGTGCTCTAACAGCCAAAGGAAAGCTTGAAAACCGTACAGTCCCTTAAGCTCACTTGCAACTGGGGGCCAGGGTCACCATGAGACTTCATGGTGAGAGATCAGACTGGTCCAGATTGGGATAATAACCAGTTTTTCCTTTGCTTCTGCCTGAAATCCATCAGCAAAGTGGAGGGGTCTCCTGGAACAGGTCTGCTCAGAATCCCTGATCTCTCTAGGATAGATCGCTCTGGCGTAAGACTATCAGACTCCAAACATCTGAGCAGCTACTGTAGACAGGGCCTGTGGGGAAGATAAGAAAAGAGCAAAGATGTGCAGAGTGGCTAGGAGAGAAGGTTGGAGGAGAACTAACATGGAGTCCCCGCTTTCCTCCCCAAGCACAGGTCATTTTGCTTAGTCCTCATAACAACTCTGTAACCTACAGGTCATGATACCCATTTTATAGTTAAGCTGAAACTCACCAAGGTTGTTATTTGCCTCTGTTTATGAAGCTAGGAAATGAACCACCACACATTTCCAGAGAGGTCACAAGGCTTCTGCACACAGGGAGTAGAGTGGGTGCTCTGAATTCAGGAAATTCATGGAGAAAGATCATGTGGGCTGGAGCAACCAGGGCGGGCTTCCTAGAAAAGTTAAGTCAGAGGATGAACCCAGAGAAAGAACCAGGAGGGCACTCAGGGCCACATGCTGCTGGGGACAGGGAAGAGACAGGTCTGACGCTGCCACTTCCCTAATAGGCCCCCTCCGGCCTGACTGTCCCTCTGTCTGAGCTTCCGTTGCCTCATCTGTAAAAGGGAGGGGATAGCGCTGCAGGGGCTTGTTGCGAGGAGAACCAGGGTGACATTTGTGAAAGTGCTTCGCCCACACTTGGCACTTACTGGAAGCTGAGGCAATGTCAGCTCCTCCCACTCCTCCCCCACTCCCCTGGCAGCAGATAGGCGAGCGCCAACAACTCAGGCAGGACGTGCCTGACGGTAGAGGCTAATGCGCGAACCCCCAGGGGGGACAGAGTGCCCCCCGCATCGGTGCAGTGCCCTCCGACCAGGCCGTTGCCCTTTCTTGTTCACCTGCCCCCCTGCCGGCCACCAGCCTGCCAGCTCGCCCCCTCCCCAGCGCCTTCCTCTCTCCTTCCTCTTGGAGCTTTCAAGGCAGGGGGCCCCACCCCCCTTAAGGCCACATGGAACCTACAGAGGGGCAGGCAGGGGCCCAGGCCTGAGGGGTTAAGCCTCAGGTGAAGAATATTCCTTCCAAGTCCTGCTCCAGCTTCTGTAAATAACCTGATTGGGTCAAGTTAGGATAAGGCCTCAGGAGGACACAGACTGGTCCTACCCAGGCTCACGAGGTGCTACCTAACACAAGGGCACCCCAAGGGTCTGTAAATCATCACCTACACTGAAAAAGAGTGTGTTACTTACCAGTATCTTCCCCCTGGAAGTTGGATCTCTTTCCCGGTGACAGCTCAGAGGTGAAATGCCTCACAAGCCATGCAGCCTGGCTTAAGGGCAGGAGGTGCGCATTTGACAACCAGCCACCATCTCCCTCACCTCCTTTCAGGCACCGCCTCTGCAGAGACCTGAAATGGGTGTTTCTGATCCCCGGACGCTGGCAGATCCCAGCCCCTTGCAGCCAACCTTGGAATTTCTAGTGCCTGGTGGGTTCTGGGGACAGGGAGCCAAAGCAGACACATCTGGCCCTGCCCTCAAGAAGCCTCCCAGGCCAATGTAAGCTGAGTCCTCCCTCTGGGTACTCCAGGGCCCATGGCCTCCTTGTTTGAGCTCCTGCTGTTTATCCCTCCCCCTGTACCCACTGCGATTCACCCACCACCCTCCGGCCAGCATTTCCAGCCGGAGCCCACAACCTACTTCCTGAGCCCAACCTCAGCGGTCCTAGCAGCCCCTTCCCTTAGAAACACCAACACAACTGCCTGTGCTACTGATGTTAGGGCAGGGCCTGGTCCAAGGAAGAGGACAGACAGCCCTGGCTTCGCACTTGAGTGTCTGGACTTGTGACCACTTGCCCTGTGGCCATGGCTCTATGCCCAAGTCCAGAAATGGCTTCTGCCTACTCCTCTGCCTGCCCAGTTAACTCCCTTCCCACTCCCTCTCCCTCCCTTCTCCGGTCCCCCTCCCCTCCCCTTTCCTAGGTCACCCGGGTCCCAGGTTCAGATGTGGCCCACCCTTCCCCTCAGCGCCTGCTGACGGAGCCCCCAGTAGTAGCAGCTGCTAGGGCCTCTCCCCGCTGTGCCCCACACACCTCTCCCAGCTGCCTTTGGCTCCCTTCAGCAGTACCCGTGCTGAAGCCTCCAAGTGGCCTGTCTGAGACGGTAATGGTCACAGCCGATAGGCCCCAGAATAAGAGATTACAATTTAAGGGCTGGAGGTTGGGCCCTGCCATATACTAGCAATATGACCTGGGTAAGTCCTTGTCCCTCCCCGACATTGTTTTCTCCTCTGTAAAGGAAGCATTGCAAACATTAGGATGCTCAGCAATAAAAAAGGAATGAGGTACTGATACATGCTATAACATGGATGCATCTTGAAAGTACCATGCTAACTGAAAAAAGCCAGTCACATACCACATGATTTAATTTATATGAAAGGTTCAGAAATCTATAGAGATAGGGGTGCCTGGGTGGCTCAGTTGGTTAAGCATTTGCCTTCGCCTTAGGTCATAATCCCGGAGCCCTGGGCTCGAGCCCCAGGTCGGGCTCCTTGCTCAGTGGGGGAGTCTGCTTCTCCCTCTGCCCCTCCCCCACTCTTGCTCGCTCTCACTCTCTCTCAAATAATTAAATAAAATCTTTAAAAAAAGAAGTCTATAGAGACAGAAAGTAGATTAGTGATGGCTTGGGGCTGAGTGGAAGGGAAGAAGGAAAGTGACTACTGATGTACCCAGGGATTTTGGGGGGCCAAGTGGGGAGTGGTGAAAATATTCTAAAATTGTGATGATGGTTGCATAACTGAACACTAAAAACCATTGAATTATATCCATTAAATAGGTGGATTGTATGGTATGTGAATTATATCTCAGTAAAGCTGTTATTTAAAAAAAACAGAATCCTGGGCACCTGGGTGGCTCAGTCAGCTAAGCATCTGCATTTGGCTCACGTCATGATTTCAGTCCCTGCTCAGTGGGGAGTCTGCTTCTCCTTCTGCCTCTGCCCCTAACCCCTGCTCATGCGCTCTCTCTCTCTCAAATAAATAAAAAAAATCTTTAAAATATATATATAAATAAGTAAGTAAACAACAGAATCTTAATAGTACTTACCTCATAGGGTTGTGAAAAACAGAAGGAATATATATAAAGTACCTGGCACACAGTAGGCACCAAGAAACGACTGTTACTGTCATTGTTAATGTTAGGAGAGCCCTGCCCAGCCTATCGTGTGTGGCCTTGACCTTTGAATTCTCAAAGGTGACTGGTCCAACCCCTTTCCCCCATGTGCCCTTATTACCTAAGGTAGCTCTTTCAGCAGCTGGAAGGGGCTATTTTAAAGAACCCAAGTCAGAGGAATTAAACCAGATCTGGAAGTCCGACCTTTCCCCTCACCTCCCTGCCACTCACCAGCCAGCCGCCTCTTGTCAGGTGATCAGGCTGTCAACTAAGCTTCTGTAGGGTAAGGTTTCAGGTCAGCTGGAGCATATAAAGATAGGTGCCAAGCCAGAGGCAGCAGAGACAACAGTGAATGGCGAGGGGGCAACTAGATCCCTGCTGCCACCTCCTGGGATGGAGCCCTAAGGAGCCTTAAGGCGGCCCTGTGCTTCCCCTACCCTGGCTGGACTCACAGGTAAGACCCCATTCTCCACCCCCTCTTCCCCCTCCATGTTCTGCCCTTCACGGCAGCTTACAGAGAGCAGCCAGGAGCTGACCGGGATCACTAGCCTGGGATCACTACGAGCTGGGAGATTGCGTTCCTCCCCCACCGAGTCAAGAGGGGGTAACTGCAACCCTGATGAGGGGGCACCGTGGCTGGGCTGAGGCTCGACCCCAACACCCGTGTCACCCACAACTCACTGTCCCCTTTCTCTGCTGGCTGCCTCTGCTGTGATTTTGCAAATCTCCATAGATAAGAAGTGGCTTTCTCCTTAGTCTGGCACAGAATCTCCAGAATGCCTCCAGAGCATTAAGCCCTTCCCCCATGAGGTCCTGGGGACCCCTTTCCTGAGTTAGAGATGGTGCAGGCACCTCTGGCCTCACATACAGGGAGGTTTACGAGCCCACAGAACTCTACTCAGGTTGCTTCCTCAGCGGGGACATGCTGTGGAGGCTTTGCCAGGAAGGCGAGATCGGGCAGGGCATCTCAGAATGGGTCCTCCGATCCCTGCTTCCGAGTTACCATGGAGAAGAGCTTCCCCAGCCCCAGCCCAGCCCCGAATCGATCTCTGGCACTGACGGCCTCTGAGAATCCACTCTGTGAACAAGCAGCTCCAGGGATCCTGAGCTCTCCCTGAGGTGTGAGGCTCTGGACGGCGGCACACGCGCAGTGTCAGACCGAGCTGGGCTCCCATCCCAGCCCCATCCCTTCCGTCTTATGACTAGCTGAAGCCTTCACAGCCTGAGGTCCCTTGGTTATGAAGTGGGAATCCCTGTGACAACCACCGTATGGCCTCATAAAGGGACTGAATTCGTCAACACCTATCGGGGCCGCCACCACCGTGCCTCAGGCAAGAAGCACCGAGCAGACGTAACGGGGCACTCCTACTGTGGCCAGGTAGCTGGAACGTGCCATCCCTCAAGGGCCCCAACGGAGCCACAGAGAGAAGAGTTCTGCTCTCAACTTCCCCTTCGCCACTGGCAAAGTTCTGCGGGCTGCTAGATTTCCTCAAGTATCAATTCCGGAGGCTGGAGTCAAGCGGGAAGGAAGGCAGGCGGGAAGCAGTGGCCTCAGGGCAGCCCCCACCTGAGTGTACCATTGTGGCCTCCCTCTCCACCACAGCTTGACTAATGAA